CGCTCAGTTGCGGCCTTGAGGGGTCCGGGCCAATAAGATGGCCTCAGGGGCCACTGCCCCCCACTCTCCCCCAGGCCCTGATCATCTCCCTGTGAAGTTGGGCAGAAGTCATCTCAAGTCTCACACCTATTTTGTGTGCGCGCACACACACACACACACACCCTGTCTACTGAATGCCTCTTTGCCTTCTGTTGACCCTTGGACCTTTATTGTTTACAGATCCCAGAGAAGAGAAAGTCATCCCTGGGGACGGGAAGGCAAGATCCACAGTGAACCTGCCGTGCTTTCTGGACCCTGAGTAAGTGGGGGTGTGTTTTCCCATAGGCCACACCCCTCTGGGGCAGACTCCTGGCATCCCCACAGATCAGGACATACTCACATCTTTGCACAGGCCCCAACTGGTCATAGTATAATAAAGAATCTGACTGGCCTTTGTCCCTGGCTCCTGAGAGGTGACCTCTAAGTCCTTGGAATTTTCTGAGTAACAGGAGTGTCTTTTTCATTCATGGTAGGCCCCTGAAGCCATATCTCAGTTTATGCTAACAAGATGACTCATGGCGGGGCTGGCCATGCCAGAGAGACCAGTCATGGGATTAGAAGGTTGAGGCTTTGAGCCACGTGATATCACCCAGACTTCCAGAGAGACAGGGGGCCAGAGATTGGGTTCAACCATGTGCCCAGGGATTCCATCAATCATGCCTACATAACGATGTTCCAATAAAAACTCCAGACACTGAGGCCTGGGTGAGCTTCTTGGTTATCACACACCAAGCGTGCCAGGAGGCTCCAATAAAAACTCCAGACACCGAGGCCTGGGTGAGCTTCCTGGTAATCACACACCAATGTGCCAGGAGGTGGCACATCCATGGCAGCTTCACATCTGGGACCCTCAGACCTTGCCCTGGGCACCTCTCCCTGTCACTGGTTTGGGTATCTTTTTGCAATAATAAAACTGTAATTGTCAGCATAGCGCTGCACTGGGGTCTGTGAGGGAGTCTAGCAAATTATCCAACCTGAGAGCTTCAGGGGAATCCCTAAATCTGTTGCCATGGTCAGAAATGCCAGTGGCCTGGGGACTCCCCAACCGTGTGGCAGGTGCCTGGAGTGAGGGTGATCTTGTGGAGACTGTGCTCTTCATTTGCGATGTCTGCACTAATCCTGGGTAGTTAGAACTGCAGCTGTTGAGGCTGCTATGTCTTCAGAACCCTTCAGCCTAGCTCACTACCCATCTCCCGGAATCCTGATTCTAAAGGCTCAAGGAGCAAATCTGATTGGCCAACTCATCTTTTCTCTCCAGGCCACATGTCATGGGTCACTCTAGAGTTTGAAACAATTCGATGGGTCTGGTCCTCGGATGGAGAGGGCAGGGTAACATGGCACAGCCACCCCGGCTCTCAGCTCAGAGCAGAAACCCCTGGGTTAGGGCCAGGCATAACCAGAGGCAGCAGGAATGGGGCCTCAGAAACTACCACCCCCATTTCCAGAATAGTTTGGGAGCACTGCTGGTTAAAGGCACAAGCACACGGGGTAGTGAGGGGCACAGGCTACAGAGACCCCAGGACTTCCCAGCAGAAACTGGCTTGTGGTTCAGAAAAGTCAGCATTATGCTATTACAGGGGGCCACATTTGTTAGAAACTCAAACTATGTCATGAATCGGGTCTTTCGACTATGAATTTGGAGGGGGAAGAAGGAAAGCCCTGAAAACTGGAGAAGCTGCTCTCAACTGAATCAGTCTGGGGGGGTCTCAGGTGTCGCAGTGACTGCATGCGGAAGGATCACTCCACTGCGTTCCCAGCCACAAAAGGCCGATGACTCATCTGCAGTCGAGTGGAAAGCAGTGTCACAATTCCGCCTGCGTTGTCTGCGGGACTAAAGACTCCATCCAGTTCTTTTCTACCCAGGTGGGCTTTCAGGACTTAGCTCCCAGTGTGCTGCCAGCAGGGCTGGATTTCCAGAAAATGTCACGGTGGGGAGGTTGTGGGTGTTCTCAGAGTCAGATCTGGCCTTGGCAAAGTGGAGGCGGCCAGTTGTTCTGATGAGAAGGGGTTACCCCTGTGTCTACTGCCTTCTGTTCCTCCCTCCCCTCCACTGATACTTATTTTCCATCCACCTGGGCTCTGCCACCTTTGCCACCCCCAGAGTGACACCACCAGCTGAAACTGATGAGGTGGGCATGTGGCTTCTCACTGATTCTAAGTCTCTTTTCATCCAGCCCCGAACAAGGCGAGATCCCAATTACAGGGCCTGATCAGGGCTGCGTCACCAAGTGACTCAAGCCTTTTCAGAAGCAACATGACTCCAGCCAAGTGTATCTGAGGTGACCTCAGCCTATAGGGGACTTTCTCCAACCCAGTGCACTTGGCAACCACTGTGAAAGGGAGACAGGTCCCTGGTTTCGGGTGGGGGTGGGAGAAAGCACCATCCCTCTAGCCTCAGTTTCGTCATCTGAGATCCAGGACAGGGTGCAGAGCCCCTCTGTCAAGTTTGCTTTAAGATCCCCACAGGTGAGACACATGATGAGGAGCCCACTGAGTGGGCCAGGCAGGGAAGGGGTGGAGTGGGGCAGATATAGGCCAAGGGTCTCGTTCTGTCTCCACGGCTCTCACCTTCTAAGAATAGCCAGCCCCTGGCTGAGTCCCTGACTCAGTGCACCTCCTCTACACAGCCTTTCTGCACACTCTCCAGAATCAGGGGGAATCCAGCCTCGATCCTCATCCTGCCCCCAGTTCCTCCATTACTGCATTGCCCCAAAGTGCTGGAGCTGGGAGGTCAAGGTCTAGTGGCGTCAGGAGGAGACTGCTCCCCGTAACTATCCCCTGACTAAGAGGTTTAGAAGAAAACAACATGAAGGGCTGCCAAAACACTTGTGACCCAGAATCTCTCGAGATGGGGCTTGTGCAGTGCCTCTGGATGGCATCGGTCCACTGTTCCCTGGGGCAGGAAGCATCAGGAGCTTTTAGGCGCCATGGTCCTGCTGCCTTCGAGTGTGTCCAGCACTTTCCCAGCTGAGCATAGGACCCCAGATGGCAGGCAAGAGAGGGAAGTGGGGTGGTCTGGGAGACACAGAGCCTTTCCCTGTCCAAGGGTGCATTCCACGGCTGGCACCACCAGCTTCACCACTTGGTGGGGACTGGCTCTTTTCACATGAGGAGAATCACTTCAGAGACCTAAGGAATGGGTCGAGTTGTGTAGGATCCAGCCCCAGGTTCCATTCATAGGGCTGACACTCTGATGTGGGCACAGCCAGGCCAGGGAGCAACTGCCAGAACTGTCAGGCCAGGAGGCGGCGAGAGTGGCTGGAACCCTTTCCGGGCCTGCTGGCCGCCTGCCGCTCAGTCAGGGGCTTGCTGTGCTCAAGGATTCCACCCAAAGCGGGGGCAAAAGGCACGGGCAGATGGGAACCGGGGCGTCATACACCCCAGCCTCCTTCCCAGTGGCTCTGTCCTCTACAGGAGCGGACATGGGGAGCAAAGACACAGTTCTCCTGACCCCAGAAAGTTCCCTGTGCCGCAGTTCTCAGCTAAGAGTGTCTGAAATGTCTTGGCTGGATGGTGTTAGGCGCATGGGGCGGCTCAGGGCATCTGGGGCCTGCGGTCTGTGGGCAGGTGCCAGCACCTCCAGGCCCCTCCTCACGGCCACAACACAGTTGGGGTTTCCAGAGCAGAAAAACCTCAGCCTCAACCAGAGGGATCCCACAACCTCAAATAGGAAAACCAAAACCAACACCAGGCTGGGTAACTGGTCGCCATGGGGATGGGGACAGGGCCCCTTCCAGCACATGGGGCCTGAGAGAAAGGAGCACTCTGCTGTGGCCCAGGAGAGGTGGAGAGACTGGGGACAGTCCCTCCCAGGAAACCCTTCCAGGGAGGGCAGTGCTGACACCAGGCCACCTCCCCCACAAAGGCTACCTCCCCTCCCTGACAGTTGCACTGTTCACCAGGACACAACCATCCACTGCCTCATGACATCTTCACTGCAATGTAAGCAGGTGTCACTGTACTGCTATCTGAGCCTTGCTACATACCACCTGTGTGGCCTTGGTTAAGTCCCTTCGTGTTTTCTCCTGCAAACTGAGACACTGCTACCCACCTGGCATTGCTGTGTTAAGGATTAGCACCATATGCAAGATACCTAGCACCTCATAGGTGCCACTAAATGTAGCCACTGCCACCACCACTACCATTGCCACCATCATTACCACCACCATTACCACCTTCCCCATCACCACCAACACTACCATCTCCACCATCATCACCACCACCATTACTACCATCCCCATCACCACTACCATTACCATCACCATCACCATCACCACCATTACCACCACCATCACCACTACCATTACCATGACCATCACCACCACCACCACCATCACCACTACCATTACCACCATCGTCACCACCACCATCACCACCACCATCACCACCACCACCATCACCACCATCACCACTATCATTACCACCACCATCACGACTACCATTACCACCATCATCACCATCACGACCACCATCACCATCACCACAGCCACCAGCACCATTACCACCATTACCACCATCACTACCACCATCACCACCACCATCAGGCTCTGTGGATGACAGAACTGAGGACACAGAGCTGGCAAGGGACAAACAGCAGGTCTCAAGACTAGGTCCTCTGACATCTGACTCTAAGTTCAGCTATGTCTATACCCTACTATGCCACACACACACACACACACACACACACTCCCAGAGCTTCCCCATCAGCATGATGCCAGTGTCTGTCCCAACATTGCCAGGGGTGCCACAGGAAGCAGGAAGTCTCACAGGGGCACCATGATTCGGCACATACTGCCTCCCTGACTTCATCTCCTCCCACTCTCACCTCTACTCACTCCATTCCAGCCACACTCTTCTCCTCAAACACCCCAGGCATGTTCCTGCCTGAGGATTTTTTCCACAAAGGGCCAGATAGGGTCTCTGGGTCACAGAGACAGTGTGTAGACAAATGAGCATGGCTGTATTCCCATAAAACTTTATTTAAAAAAACAGGCAGTGGCTGGATTGGGCCCTCGAGGTACAGCTGGTCTCATTTTCTCTGCTCTGGCTGCTCCCTCTTCCTGGAATCCTCTTCCTGCTCCTTGGGAGAAAACAGCCTCGGGTTAACAGTTTTGGCCTACTTGCAGCTTTTGCACAGCTCTCACTTTCTCCATGAGGCTGACCCTGATCACCATTAAAAAAATAATCATTTATTGAAATGAAATTCACTTAATATTAACCATTTTAAAGTGAATAATTTAGGCTGGGTGCGGAGGTTCACGCCTGTAATCCTAGCACTTTGGGAGGCCGAGGCGGGTAGATCACCACACGAGGTCAGGAGATTGAGACCATCCTGGCTAACATGGTGAAACCCCATCTCTACTAAAAATACAAAAAGAAAAATTAGCCGGGCATGACAGCGGGTGCCTATAGTCCCAGCTACTCGGGAGGCTGAGGCGGGAGAATGGTGTGAACCTGGGAGGCAGAGCTTGCAGTGAGTGGAGATCGCACCACTGTACTCTAGCTTGGGTGACAGAGCAAGACTCCGTCTCAAAAAAAAAGTGAACAATTCAGTATTATTTAGTACACTCACAGTGTTGTGCTTCTACCACCTCCATTTAGTTCCAAAACATTTAAAACATTTCTGTCACTAGGAAGGAAAATCCTCTACTCCTTTTTTTTTTTTTTTTTTTGAGACAGTCTTGTTCTGTCACCCAGGCTGGAGTGCAGTGGTAGAGCGATCTCAGTTCACTGCAACCTCCACCTCCCGAGTTCAAGCGATTACCCCACCTCAGTCTCCTGAGTAGCTGGGACTACAGGCATGCAGCACCATGCCCAGCTAACTTTTGTATTTTTAGTAGAGATCGGGTTTTGCCACATTGCCCAGGCTGATCTCAAACTCCTGAGCTCAAGTGATCCACCTGCCTCAGCCTCCCAAACTGTTGGGATTATAGGTGTGAGTCACCATGCTCGGCCTCTACTCACCCTTTTTAATCCTAAAACCTGCCCCCACCCACTGCCCCACTGCCCCACTGCCCCCATCTTGGGACCCCTCTGCCTTTCTTTTACTGTTAGTTTCTAATTCCCAGGCACACATCACCCTGCAGCAAGCGTTCTGTGTGGCTCCTGAGTTATTCTGCTCATTGCTTCCCGCCAGTCTCTGCCTCACCTCCCGCTGGAATGCAGACTTCATGGGAGTAGGTATCCCAAACTCTCAAACACCTAGAACAGTGCTTGGACATAGCAAAAGCTCCATCAATCTCTGATGAATAAATGGATGGATAAACAAATGGGAGAGGCAGGACCGGAAGGGAAGAGATGATTTCCAAATGGACTTAGAAACAACAACAAATAAGCCACACTGCACACCATAATCTCTGAGCCTCCATTTTCTGCTCTGAAAAAGGGAATACGACCACCTTCCCAGCAAGGTGGAGGGTACGCGCAGCCCCTCCCCTTTGTGTGCCTCTTCCCATCTCACTGTGTCTGTTGACCCAGCCCTGGATCAAGAGCCTTTCCTTCTAGGGCAGTGCGGAAAGAGAAGGGGCTCTCAACAGACAGGGAGGGCTGGGCTGCTGACTCTTCTGTCCACAAGCTGAATAACTACAGGCCACTTCCCCAACCTCTCTGAACCACAGTTTCCTAATTGATCTAATAACCAACTGCCCTTTGTAAGGGTCGATTCGAAAATGTGCTTGAAGCCCCTGCACTGCAGGAGGCACGAGGTGGGCCATCATCCCATTTTAAGCCCTGTTGCTCTGCATCCCAACTGCCCAACGCCACCCCGCCTGGGGCTTCCTTCCTTTTCCCTCTATCCCTCTACATCTCTTAGGAGAAAGCAGACCCCTAGTCCTCTTTCAAACACTATTGATCTTCTTAAAAATGTCTTTTCCCAAGAAGTAGCAGAACTGGAAAAAAAACAAAACAAAAGTTCTTTCCAAGGAAAATAATTTTTTAATGTATTTTTGTGCTCACGATGTTTTTGCCCACTCTGGTTTTCACAGTTGAGAAAAGTCTGGCCACAAAAATTGACTTTTCACTACAAGAGTAATCCCCTTCTCGCAGCAAGGCCCAAATTTGGTCACTTTTGCCCCATAATGTTTTCTCTGGGTTAAAGAGGAAGAGAAAGCCAGGGGAAGGGAGGTGAGTGGACCCCTGAGAAACGCTCCTGGTAGTCGTAGGCCAGCCCCTGCTGCAACTGCGGCAATTCCGTTGGAGAAATAAACAGGACTACTTGCTCAGGAAAAATACCCCACTTTTTCATAGGATATTCACAAAAATATTTGCATTTTCCTGTGAGTACTAATTACTTCTGCTCTCCCCAGAATTTCTGCATCCCCTATTTCAAAGAAGCTAAACAAACTCTGTAGAGATCCTGGCCAATCAAAACCTGCTCAGCACTCAGGTACATTACCATGTGGACACGATCGTGTACACACAAGGCCTGGGAAGCCTGCGCCACCGAGACACTAGGATGAAACAGGCCCTGGCCTTCATGCTCCACCTCCAGTCTCTGGGTCTCATGACCCTACAGTAAAGTAGATTTGTTTTGCAGAGGAGGAAACAAGCCCAGAGAGGACAGGGGTCTGGGCACACAGCTACTGAGAGGCTGAGCTGGGATTTGAGCCTAAGAATGCCTGGTTCCTAACTCCCAGTCCAGGAGGATGACGCTGACTCAAGGGACAGGCAAGAGCTGGGTCCTAAGAAAGTTCCCCCAAAGTCTGAAGCCACGAAAGCACAAAACCAGCACAGTGCAGAGGCACCTGTAGAGAGGATTCCAACACAGAGATGAGGTCTCCCAAACTGGATCCAGGAAAGAGTTAGTGATGCCCACCTACCTCGATCCCAAGCATGCTCCTCCTGAGGGCCTCCCACCTCAGTTCACGGCACCACCATCACCCAGTCACTTGGCCCAAACATCTAGGTGCCATCCCTGACTTCCGCCTCTCTGTGGCCTCTGTAGGAAACAGCCTCCAGGATGGCCCTAGAGATTCCTGCTTCCTGCAAGGTCTCCTCCCACACTGATGAGCCCAGAGAAAAAGCTGGGCTGCCAGTCTGCAGGTCCCACAGGTCCTCACGATGAATCCATGAGCTACTGAGCCACATCCCGGGGAAGGTAAAGGAATCCCATTTTTTTTGTGCTCCTGGACAGGACCTGAGAGCCTCACCTTGGGGTCTAGAGAGCTGGCATTTGTCCTTAAAGATCAGCTCCAGATAGTATCTCTACGGAAAGAACTTAAATTACAGACCCATTGAAGCACTTCCTGGGGTGCTATTTACCCCCAATATCAGTAACGCTGAGGCCATAACTGTCCCTTCCAAGGTTCCTTTAAAACCCATCGCAATGCAGTGTAATTCCTAAGAGCTTTGGGGTCAGCCAGGCCATGGTTCACATCTGGTCTCTGTCCATAGCTGTGTGACCCTGGGAAAGCTGCTTACCCTCTCTGAGCTTCAGATTGTTCAAGCCTAAAATGGGGAGACACCATCCTCTTAAGAAGGCTGCTAGGGCCTACATGAGACTGTGGTTAGCACCAGTTAGCGCTCAGTAAATGTGAGCTGTCACCACTACTCTGCCCTGAGTCCTGATCTCACACAGGGTCACAGGACCTGGGGGTTGAAAGGGCCCTTCCTTGTCCTTGATTCAACCTCCCTCAACACTCCCATTGGACCCTGCATTCCCAGCATGCTTCCCTCCCACCAAGGCCTTCCTGAGCTCAGCTCTGCCTCCCCTTCCATCCACCGTGCAGACTCATACCGAGGACCTACTTGGTACTTGGCACGTGGCCCCTGCCCTACAAAAACTCACAGGCTCGTGGGTGGCACTGACCCATGCCAGGTGACAATACGAGAGGAAGAGGGGACTGAGGGGGCACAGGGGAGGCACAATCAACCCTGCCTGTGGAATCAGGGAAGACTTCCTGAAGGAGGTGACCCTTGGGCTGAACCCTCTCTTCTTAGAGACCACACAGTCCCTCATGCACCAGCCCTGCAGGGATGTGGCAAGAACTCCGAAGGTGGCCCCAGTTTCCATCCAGGCTCAAGAGCCTGGGCTCTGGGCACCAGCCCTCCCAGCCTCAGCACCAGCCTCCTCACTGGATGGAGCACCCAGAAGGGCCCTGGGAAGATCTGCCTCCCTCAGGGAATAGTCCTTTCCCTTCAGCTCCATCTGGGAAGTGGGGAGAAGGGGGCCGGCCGGCAGGCCATCCTGCCAGCATTCCCCAAATCCATACAGGGCTCCCCTGCCTCAGAACTGGACTTGCCCAGGATCTCAAGCTAACACTAAGATCCTCCCCCCTGGCCCCCTGGAACCAGGAAGCAGCTGGCCTGCGGGTCGGGGGCGAGGGCAAGCCTGAGCATGGCAGCCACAGAGCCTGTGCAGCCGTTTTCTCTAATTCTCAGAATGACGTGTAAGAAAGCTCCCCCACTGCATGGCACAGGAGAAGACACGGAAGCTATGAAGAAGCAGGCCGACCGGCCCAACGTCACTGGGAAGAAAAACACATGCCTCCTACCTTCGTCACCCCGACTGTGTTCGCCTTTCCCTTCAAGCGCGTGTGGCCAAGGGAAGCCCCATGGATTGGGCTGCTCCTGGGGAGGAGTCAGGGGACCCAGAGAGGATTCTGAGGGGGCACACGCCTGGCCCACACATCACAGATGACCCCACAGATGGCTGTACCGAAAAGCCCTTGCCACACACAGAGTTATTTCCAGTCACTTCTACCACGAGCACACAATTTCGGCAGGGCTACAGTATGACACCCATTTCGTAGATCAGGAAGCTGAGGCCGGGACGGGGTGAGGCGTGCCTGGGGTGCATGGTCAGTGATGGGGGTCTGACCCTGATCCACACCCGAATAGGAGCTGCTGTGGGCACAGCTCTGGTACCCAAAGATAAACCCGGGCACTTACGTTCCTGCAAGGATCAGGGGAGCAGGCTTAGACCCAGCTCTGACCCTGCAGGCTCAGCCTACAAAGATGCACAGGCACACAGTGCAGACCCGCCATGGGTGCCCACTCCCAGGGGACCGAGGACGATGCCTGGAGAGGTGGGTGCTCAGATGGAGCCTCACAGAGGCAGGGCATAGGCTGGGGCCCCAGGTTCCCCATGACCATTTCCCTCTGTACTCCCCCCACCTCATTCCTGTGACACAACAGAGCAAGCTGGGGCAAGGCAGTGGGGCTTAAAAAGGCTTCCTAGAAAATGCTTCTTGAATTGTAAAACGGCCAACGAGGGCTCTGTTGGGAAGATGAGGTTTTTACCCCTCAGAATTCAAAATCCAATGTGTATGCAGAAAGGAGGGCTCGCCACCAGGAGACTAGAGTAGAGCACAGCTGCACGAGTTTCCTCTTGCTTCAGTAACAAGTTATTAATAGCACAAATGGAGTGCTGTAGACACAAATGTATTATCCTACAGTTCTAGAAGTCAGAAGTCTGCAATCAGATTCATCGGCTAAATCCAGGTGTCGGCAGGGCAGTGTTCCTTCCAGAGGCTGCAGGGGAGCATCTACAGACCACCTCTATCCGTGGCCCTTCCTCCACCTTCAAAACCAGCAGTCGCTGGTCAGGTCTTTCTCAAGCTGCATCACTCTGAACTCCTTTTCACAGGCACAGTCAACTCTCCCTCTAAGCAGGTCCCTTGTGGTTTCTCTGGGCCCACCTGATGTCTCTGGAGAACCTCTCCATCTCAAGAGCCTTAACTTAACCACATCTGCAAAGCCCCTTTTATCAGGTAGGTAACATATTCACAAGCTGCAGGGATTCAGATACGACATCTTTAGGTGACCATTATTCAGCCTTAATCATGCAGTGATTAAGACTGCATGCTCCAGGGCCAGACTGCCTGGGTTTAAACCCAGCTATGTAATTTACTAGCTGTGTGACTCCAGGAAATTTACTTAACCTCTCTGTGCTTCAACTGACTCCTTTATAACCTCACAGATACAGGTGTCAATGAGCTGATGCACGTAAAGCATTTAGCATAGTTTAGAAAGTTCAGTGAGTAAGGGCTGCTATTATCTTCTCCTCTCCACCCAACTCAGAATGAATGACATCAGAGCCGACAGGAACCTTGGTGATTACCCACACCTGCCCCTCACTGATGGCTGGAGACACAGAGGCCCAGGGAGAAAAAGTGAGCCATCCAGGTCACACAGCATTCTTTTAGGCAACCCCCAGTACCCTATAACTGTACCTGGTACAGAAGAGCTCAAAGAAGCATCCCCCATGGCTCCCCAGTGCCCTGCACCCAGTAGACGCTAGAGGCCACTGCAGCCGGGAGTCACCTGGGGGGAGAAGAGGGGAAGTGCTCCCCAGCAGAACGTCTGCAGGAAACACCTGCAGGTGCAGCGGCCCCGGCCAAATTCTCACACCCCACCCACCAGGCCCAGGGGCCCAGGTAGACGTGACACCTCTTTCCGCAGGAGAAGTCAGCAGAACAAATCGTGGCTAGGGACACCAAAACCCATGATGAGGGCCAAGAGAGGGTGCTCTGCCCCACAAGTGTCAGCCAGGACCCCGGCTTCCTCCCCTCGCTGTGTGATCTCAGTGTGGGTCTGGACACATCCCCTCTCTGGACTTCCATTTCACATCAAAAAGCAGGACCCAGAATGGCTCAGTGGCTCTCAATCTGCAATCATGGTCCAGGAGCCCCTGACCAAGTTTCAGAAAATCCTAGAAGAACCGCGCATGCACCCCAAGCTGAAGCACGCAGGAAGCTTGCTCATCCAGGCACTGAAGTTCATCAGTGTGTGCAGTTCAGGCTGAACAGACTCACACAGAGGTGTCTGCAATCAACAAAACGGGGGAAACAGTGACTCACCTCACACAGATGGCCTGTTAGCGGGCAAATTTCTCCACAAAAGGCGACAAGAATCATCACAGGTCCTTGGCAGAGCCTCAACTAGACTCTGCTGTTTCCAACCAGAGAGGGCTGACTCACCCAAAAGGCTCCCCCCTCCCCCAAATCCAGCCCAGGCGGGCACTGCCCCAGTGGTTCGACTCCCTCACCATCACACAGTCCTCCAGCTGACACCCAGGATTCCCAGGGAGGCCTTCCAAAGGCTCAACACGGGGCCTTTCCACAGTCTCAGGGAGGGCTGTGAGCAGAGATACCGGAAGTACAGTGGTGAGGCCATCACTTGCTTCCTCACTGGAAGTTATTTCCTGCCTCAGGGCCTTTGCATGTAATTTCCTCTGCTAGATACACACTTCCAGAATACTTTTTTGCAATGAAACATTTCAAGCTTACAGAATGAGAACAAAATTTCTTTAAATCTGCATACCCATAGGTTTTGTCAAAATAATTCCTCCATCCACTCCTGCTGAGAGGTTAGGTCCTCCAGGTTTTTACCTCTCAAATGACGTTGCTCTGGGCACTTACGCGTGTCTCCCGGGGAGTGGCGCTTTACTGCTTTTCACTTATGTCTTTATTGGGTTTCCACCCAAGAGGACAGGGACTATGTCCATTTTGCTTGTCGGTGCCTAGGACATTTGCCTGGCATACAGCAGACCTCTGACCAGTCTGTGAACGAGTGAATGCTCGAATATGTGAGTGAAGGAGACGTGTCACCCCAGAAGCAGATCGTGCTGAGCCCGTCTTTCCCCAGGTCTCTGAGATGAACCTGACATGTCCTCTGCCGGCCCCTTGTTCTGTCAGCGAAGAGAGGAAAGGCAAGGGAGGGGACCACGGGTTCCCACAGCCTTGGAGGACCACGGGACCCCGGAGCTCAGAGCCCAGGGAGGTGGAAGGTCAGAGGCTCTAGGTCAAGTCCTCGCTGCCAGCCACAAGGTAAGACTAAGGAGACCTCATCTGGGCTTTCCTGCAGCTCCCCACAGCCAGACACCCAGGATTTTTCAGAAAGAGGTGTCAGCAAAAGAAAAACTGCAGGGAGAGATGGAAAGAAGAGCAGGGAGGGGGTGGGAGAGGAGAGAGGGAAGGGAGAGACTAAAGAAAAACAGGGAGGGAAGAAGGAAGGGAAGAAAAGAGCAAGGGAGGGAGGGAAGGAGGGAGTTGCCCAAACACCCCTCATTAAGAGAACAACTGCTTTTCTGCAAATGCCCTGCTGGTCTGCATCTGCGTGCACAGGGCAAGCACCTCTGGGTGGGGACTGCATGGGGTCAGTTCTCATGCCCCACCCCTACAGAGAGACAAGCACAGAGCCAGCCCTTGGTGGATGGCTGGTGAGTGGGCAGGGTGGGGTGCTGGAGACAGTGTTGGGTGCTGGTTATAGACTCCCTATATCAGGACAGAGGGGCCTGTGGGTGAGCTCAGCCACTCACTAGGTGGGTGACCTTAGGCCAAAAACTCTTTAAGCCTCAGTTTCTGCATCTATGAAATGGGAAGAAGAATGTCAATGTTGCCACCTAGGGTTGTGAGGAATGACAGGGAAATGCACAGAAGTCCATGCACAGTGAGCACTCAACAGACAGCAGCAATTCAGCCGTGCATGGTGGTGGGCACCTGTAATCCCAGCTACTCAGGAGGCTGAGGCAGGGAGAATTGCTTGAACCTGGGAGGCGGAAGTTGCAGTGAGCCGAGATCATGCCACTGCACTCCAGCCTGAGCAACAGAGTAAGACCCTGTCTCAAAACAATAAAAAAAAAAAAAAAAATAGCAGCTCACACAATTGGCATACTGTTGTGGCCTTGCTTTCCCCTCGAGGTTCCAGGCGGAGGTTTCCTTCCTCCACAGCCCACCTCATCCCACCGCTCTGGCCCTTCAGCCAGGGCTGCTCAAAGCTGCCTCTTCGGCATGTCTCTAGATTTGTGCTGGGTCACTAAACACAGTCAAGATAAAGCCCAGGTTCTGAGTTTTCCAACATCCCCAGCACCAGGTAACACCACATCCTCCGCCTTCTGGATCCAGAAAGGCAGGTGAGTCAACTTTCCCAAGATGATCCTGAAGACGCAGGGCCAGCACCACCCTGGCGTTTTATCGTAGGCAAGGACCCTGAGTCTGGCTGTGGGGACACCATGCAGGGGGCGATGAGTGATCAAAGGAGCCCTAGTTGAGCCCCAAATCCAGGGGACAGCCAGGGTCCTTCACTTTCCCTCCCCCACCTTCCATGCCACACTGGGTTCATCCCCAAGTCTGGGCTGTGCAGTGAAATCCACAACTGTCCCCCTCCCTGTGTCCCCACGGCTGCTACTGGACCAGGCCAGCATCCTCACCTGAACCAGCCTCTTCCCCGCCCACCTCCATTCTTGCTGCCTTCAAACTATCTCCACCCAGCAGCCAGTTATGCAAACCCAAAGCAAATCATGGAATTCTCTCTCTTGGAATCCTCCAATGACTTCCCAACAGGTTTAGAATCAAGTCCAAATGGCTTCTGTGACTCCCCCACTATGCCCCAGGCCCGCACTCCACTCCAGACACTCTGAGCTCCTCCGGGCCCATGGAGACCCTTGCGGCTCGTGCTCATCGCCCAGCCTTTGCCCTGCTGGCTGTGCCCCTGCCTGACCATCCCTTTTCTGACAACTAGGTCTCAACTAATATGACCTCCACACACCCACACTTGGAGGCTCCCCAGGCCTCATCTAAGGTAACACCTCCACCTCCACTGAGTCTATCTCATTCTCTCATCTAATCCTGTTGCACCTCATCCACTACAGAGTACTCATCACTATCAGACATTATTAGTTTACACATGTATAAATCATCTGTTTTCAGATATAACATGATCTCGTCCACCTAGTGTTTTACTCTCAATTTACCATGCTGCCCCGGGGCAGAGCTGGCATATGAACTGGTCACTGCTGATCCTAGAACAATACCGGACACATGGTTCGCCCTCCATGAGTGCACCTGTCTGTGCTCCTGCTCACTGTGCAACCTCACGAGGGTTATTGACCCTCTCTGAGCCTTGAGGTCCCTACTCCCTAAGGTGCAAGATATTGGATCCATCAACCTCTAAGCCATCATCTTCCTTCAGGGATGGAGGAGGGGAGCAGATGAACCCTCTCTGAGCCTTGAGGTCCCCCCTCCCTAAAGTGCAAGACATTGGATCCATCAACCTCTAAGCCATCATCTTCCCTCAGGGATGGAGGAGGGGAGCAGATGCTCTCACCAGCACTACTTTTGCCCCAGTGACAGCATGCATATACAGCAGTAGGGCAGGGGGTGATGTTGGTCACCTGGGGACAGAAGCAGCTCCAGAAGCCCCTGGCAGACAGGCCCCAGGGAACCCCAGGCCTCTGTGTGGAAGAAACCCGCCAGGCCCCCACCCTCTCCTGCGGTTCCCAGGCTCTGCAGCCTCTGCTCAAACACCTGGACAGTCCTGCTTTCTGGCCCCAAGAAGTATTTACATTTCGATTAAGTCTGGTTTGAAACCACCAGGTAGGCTGGCCTGAGGCCTGACACACCCCAGCCAGTCGAACTGTAATAACAAGGTGCCCTGGGGAGCAGGTAGAAATGTGGGGCTGAGGGAGGAATTGCCACTCTCCAGAGGCTCCTTCGCAGCCTGCGAAGAAAAAGTACAACCAGCTCCTGTGATTAGAGATGGTCACTGCTCCAGTAAGCCCCAGGGTTCTGCTCTGGAAATAAACAGCAAGGCAAGGAGCTCAGGGCACCACATCCAGACACAAGGAGCCTGCCCCCTGCCCTTGGGCTCCTCTACCAGGTAGCATCACCCAGGAAGCAGGATGTGACCCTGTTCTAAGCTGGGGACTTGCACAAAGTCACATTTTAATCCTGGATATATTCTGAGGACTCTGCTAACAAGCTACCACTGTGAGGCCTCCACAGGCTGGGAAGAAGCCCAGCTATTCATTTTACTAGCTTCAAGTCTCCTTGAAAGTGGGATTCTGGAAGCAGTAAATGACACCTTAAAGGAATGTGGATTCCTGCATCCAGAATTGCCACTGCCCCATCACCCACTCCCTGCCAGCCCACCTGCAAGGGAAAGAGTCCAGGAAGCCAACAAATGCTTTAGAAATGCAGCTTTCCTTCATTCCTTGGTATTTTCATAAGAAATCAAGTCTCCTCAGCAGAAAGTGCAATGCTGCTTGTACCACCTGGCGCTACAAAAGCAGAAAGACTTCATTAAGTGAATGAGCTCCAAAAAGATGGCAGTGGCTGCCGGGAATCCTGGAACTCAAGACAGGGTCCAGGCTCAATGAACAGGGAGTCCCACAATTGATTAGTAATGTCTGCCATTGGCCTGGCAGGGGAAAATGCTACCCACGCTAAGTGTTTGCTGTTCAGGGATCAGAAAAGCAGCTAAAACAGCACTTCTAGGAATTCAGAAAACGCAGGTTTTGACTGGTAAGGAGGCATGGTCAAAGTGACTCAAAAGTAGAGACAGGGGCTTCTGGAAGACTAAAGAGAAAGCTGCTGGCAACTTCTCGTGCAGAGGACAAGTCGCTCCTAGAAAAGTCAAGTCACTCCCTCAGCAGCCATCGGATAGGGCGTGCCCTAGAGCTACCTCTGTGCTGTGGGTAACACCCCTCCCACCTCACATCTGGGATGTCACTCCCAGATCCTTGAAGCAACACAGTTCTAGAGAGAATTGTGCTAGAAGACAGAAGGGTGTTTGACCTTTAGGGCTCAGAATAAAAGACCCAGAGTTATGGACACAGTTTGCTGTAGCAAAGGAGAGGTGGTGGTGGTGTGGGTCTCCCTGGTGACAGATGTCCCATTTAAAAAGAAGAGAAAGGAGGCTGGGCACAGTGGCTCATGCCTGGAATCCCAGCACTTTGGGAAGCTGAGGCGGGCAGATCACTTGAGGTCAGGAGTTCGAGACCAGCCTGGCCAACATGGTGAAACCCTATCTCTACTAAAAATACAAAAAAAAAAAAAAAAAATTATCCAGGTGTGGTGGCAGGTGCCTGGAATCCCAGTTACTCAAGAGGCTAAGGCAGGACAATCACTTGAGCCTGGGAGGCGGAGATGAAATGAGCTGAGATTGCACCCAGCCTGGGCAACAGAGCAAGACTCCATCTCAAAAATAATAATAAAAATAAAAAGAGAAAGGAGCAGCCAAAGCACAGAGCAAGCAGTGGCTTTGTTAGTTGGATGGAGGACAGGCCTGCCCAGCAGGGCACTGCTGACATTTTAGGAGGACAAAGTGGGCACTTTTGCCTTTTTGTTTCCAGCTCAACATGGGCCTGAGGCAGTCTGCCCGGGGCCTCTGGCTGGGGTCACAGTTTGAGAAACACAGCAGTAACATGGATAATTACAGGGTGGGAAAGTGGGGGAGCCCAGCATCCCTTTGCTGCTGTCCAAGGGGTGACTTCCAGAAAATGCCCAGGGTAGAAAGAGAGATTCTCCATTTCTTTTTCTTTTTTTTTTTTTTTTGAGACGGAGTCTCACTCTGTTGCCCAGGCTGGAGTGCAGTGGCGCGATCTCAGCTCACTGCAAGCTCCACCTCCTGGGTTCACGCCATTCTCCTGCCTCAGCCTCCCGAGTAGCTGGGACTACAGGCGCCCGCCACCACGCCTGGCTAATTTTTTTGTATTTTTAGTAGAGACGGGGTTTCACCATGTTAGCCAGGATGGTCTCGATCTCCTGACCTCGTGATCCACCTGCCTCGGCCTCCCAAAATGCTGAGAGTACAGGCGTGAGCCACTGCGCCCAGCCGAGATTCTCCATTTCTACAGATGAAAAGAATATGTGGAAATTAACTTCTGTTGCAGCATGAAGGATTTATGTGAGACTTGTGGGGAAAGTTCTAGAACATATCACGCTATTTTGTGCAGGTCTCAGGGTCTGGAGTGTCCCCTGGAGATCCAGGGGAGACCTCTGGGGGCAGCCCCAGCCCACCTCTGCAGACTTCCCTGACCTTGGCAGGTGGCTTCAGCTCCCCAAGCCTGGGCTTCCTTTCCAATAAAACAGGAGGAACAGTCCGTACCCTGTGTACTTCATGGAGCTGCTGTCAACACCCACTATGAGTGGAGACAGTGGACTAGGACTCAGCAGCGAGAATGAACCAAACACAACTGCACGCAGCCACAGGCCCAAATCTCAAAGACAGCAGTGAGTGAAAGGAGCCAGACTCAATAGGGCCAAGGCTGCATGGCTCCTTTCGCCCAGAGTCCAAAGGCAGACAAAACTAACCCACATCGTTAGAACCACCCCAAGGCAGATGGGGCCATAGAAGACTTGTTTCTTGACTAGGGTTCCACAGGGTACATACTTTATCACTTTATGAAAAACCATATGTCTGTGGGTATGTCTATGGGTTCTGCACTTTTTTTTTTCTTTTGGGACTGAGTCTCACTCTATCGCTCAGGCTGGAGAGAAGTGGCACGATCTCGGCTCACTGCAACCTCTACCTTCTGGGTTCAAGCAATTCTCCTGCCTCAGCCTTCCAAGTAGCTGGGAATACAGGCGACTGCCACCAGGCCCAGTTTTTTATGTTTGTTTTTGTTTTTTGGTTTTTTGTTTTGTTTTGTTTTGTTTTTGCATTTTTAGTAGATACAGGGCTTCACTATGTTGGCCAGGCTGCTCTCAAACTCCTGACCTCAAGTGATCCACCTGCTCCGGCCTCCCA